GAGGCCAGATCCAACCCGAATAAAAAGACCTCAACCTTCCAAATGGTAGCAGCACACCCCCCTGCCTCATTTAATGCTTCGCCAAGTCAACAGACATATCAATCTCAGGGCAAAAGGAAAGACTTACATCTTCACCAATCTCATTTTAATAAAAAGAATAAAGGGCACTATCGCGATAACTCAGGATATCGTCACAATAATGCCCGCCCCCAGGCAGTCAACGCAGTGGGCCAATCACGTGTCAAGACAGGCCCTACCCCGAGGTATGAGACATACACATCTTTGAATGCTACATGTGCTGCCATCTACCCCAGTATAGCTCACCTGATACCAAAGCCAAAGCCAAGACAGCCAGATTACAAGTCCACGAAGAACACGGGAATGTTTTGCTGCTACCACGAGTATAATGGCCATGATAGTGAAAAGTGCATTATCCTCCGTGACCATATTGAAGCTCTGGCACGTGAAGGAAAAATTGATCAGTTCCTCATTCACCCTCCGAGGGATAACCGTAACCAACGCCAGGTGAATGTGATTTATTCCATAAGCGGCGGCACACCCATGTCTGAATCTTCCAATAGGGCCATGAAAAGCAGTGAACGAACTTTGAGACCTGGCCATCAAGTGTTTCACGTGGAAGACATCAGAGGAGGCAAGTATCAAAAGCCTAACTGGGATCCAATATGTTTCTACCCTGAGGAAGAAAGAGGTATCATCTACCCTCACAATGACCCGCTGATCGTGGAAGCTCACATAGCAAATTTTGATGTGAAACGAATCCTGATAGACACAGGTGCTTCAGTCAATATCATGTTTGCTGAAGCTTTCAAGGCACTTAATGTAGCGGAACACTTGCTCGATTGCTCGATTTCTCCTCTGATAAGCTTCTCTGGCGATATCGTGCAACCTTTAGGGAGTATACACTTACCCTTCACCATTGGTACAGGCCCCTACACAGCTACTATTACCACTAACTTCCTAGTGGTCAACTGCCCGACGGCATACAATGTCATCTTTGGGCGCACAGGCATCAATGATCTCAAGGCCATGGTATCCACACATATGTTGTTGATGAAGTTTCCAACCCCTTTCGGCAATGGGTACATCAGGGGATATCAACTTAGTGCTCGATCATGTTACAACACTTCAGTCAAACAACAACACCTATCTGTCCCCAATGAGACTCTCTCTATACATAACCAAGTCGTAAAGACCAGTCCAGATGAATCCAACTCGGGTCTTCAGGATGGCAACAGTCAACCCGACGACCCTCGAGATGACTCATTCACCCAGCAAACACAACCCGCTGAAGAGTTAGAGGTCTCTATCTCCAAAGACCATCCAGACCACATGGTGAAGATTGGCACTACTTTGTCACCACCCCTTCGGTTGTCACTGATCTCCTTTTTGCAAGAGAACGATGAGGTTTTCGCTTGGTCATATAAAGATATGCCGGGCATCTCTCCCGATATCATTTGTCACCACTTGAGTATTGATCCCAAGACCAAACCAGTAAAACAGAAGTGAAGATCTTATGATGTTGAGCGATACGAGGCGATGAAAGCAGAAGTTGAAAAACTCAAGGACATAGGCTTCGTCCGTGAAGTCAATTACCCAACATGGGTAGCAAATGTTGTCCTTGTTAAGAAAAATCCGACCAAGGAAAGTCTCCTGCTTCAAAAGGTCTTGTGGAGAATGTGTGTCGACTACACCGACCTAAACAAAGGATGCCCGAAGGATAGTTTCCCCCTTCCTCTCATTGATAGACTTATAGACTCTACGGCAGGGTGTGAGCTCTTGACCTTCATGGACACTTATTCAGGATACAACCAAATCCTCATGAACCCCTCAGACCAAGAACACACAGCCTTCACTACTGATAGGGGATTATATTGCTACAAAGTCATGCCCTTCGGCCTAAAGAATGCAGGAGCAACTTATCAGAGACTGGTCAATTCAATGTTCGCCGAACAGATTGGGAAGAGCATGGAAGTTTACGTTGATGATATGTTAGTCAAGAGCAAACATGCTGACCAACACATCACCAACCTATCTGAAACTTTCACCATTCTAAAGAGGTATCGAATGAGGTTGAACCCCAACAAATGTGCCTTCGGCGTGGGCTCTGGCAAATTCTTAGGCTTCATGATTAGCCAACGAGGCATTGAAGCTAACCCCGAAAAGATCAAAGCAATCCTCGACATGAAAGAGCCAGTAACTTCAAAAGACATCCAAAGCCTTACTGGCAAGGTGGCAGCCTTAACCAGATTCATCTCTAAGGCCACAGACAGATGTGCTCCTTTCTTCAAAGCACTCAAGGGAAATAAGAAGTACATTACATGGACGGAGGAATGTGCCAAGGCATTCAGGAACCTCAAAGAGTACATGAGTAAAGCCCCTCTGCTCTCCAAACCAGAAGTTGGTGACACTCTCATTATCTATCTATCGGTTTCGGCTTCAGCAGTTAGTTCTGTTCTTATTCGAAAGGACAGTGGCGTCGAAAGGCCCGTCTACTACGCTAGCAAGGCCCTACAAGATGCAGAGACACGATACTCTAACATTGAGAAATTAGCTCTAGCATTGGTCATGTCTGCTCGGAAACTTCGCCCTTATTTCCAAGCACACGCCATCATCGTGCTTACTAATCACCCTCTTCGACAGATACTCCAGAGTTTGACACGTCTGGACGAATGATCAAATGGGCGATAGCATTGGGTGAGTTTGACATCTCCTACCAACCAAAACCAGCCGAAAAAGGTCAAGCAGTAGCAGATTTCATCGCCGACTTCACATATCCTGTTGACATTGCTTCTACACCTGAAGCAGTAGCTTCATTACCATCGGAAGCTCAGAAAGTAGAATCAACGACCCCAGCATGGAGTCTGTATGTTGATGGCTCATCCAACCAACAGGGCTGCGGAGCAGGATTAGTCTTCACTACCCCGACGAAAAGTGGCGATGGAATACGCTATTCGTTTCAAATTCAAGGCATCGAACAACGAGGTCGAATACGAAGCCCTTCTAGCAGGCTTACGTTTGGCCAAACACCTTAGGGTTAAACGAATTGATATCTTCAGTGACTCCCAATTAGTGGTCAACCAAGTCACAAACAACTTTGATGCTAAGGATAGCTCCATGGCAGCATATCTTGCGCAAACGCGACTTTTGCTCAAGCACTTCCACTACCAGATCACCCAAGTTCCTCGAGCGGCAAACAGTCATGCAGACGCTTTGGCTCGCCTCGCCTCGGCAGTGGAAGACAAGATTGGGAGAAAAATTCATGTCGAATTGTTGGCAGAACCAAGCACCATGGTCGCGGAGGTGTGCAATTTACAACAAGAAGATAGTTGGATCACCCCAATTTATAAATTCCTTGCTCATGGCACCCTCCCAATTGACAAAGTCCAAGCTAAGCAGATTCGATACAAGTCTGCCCGATACCTGATCATTAATGACCAACTCTACAAGCGCGGTTTTACCCTGCCATACCTAAGATGCCTTACACCTGCAGAGGCGGAAATTGTCCTTCGGGAAATACATGAAGGAGTCTGCGGAGATCATGCTGGGTCTCGATCCCTAGCACACAAGACTTTTCGCCAAGGATACTATTGGCCAACACTCCACCAGGATGCCATCAGAATATCACGCTCATGTGATAAGTGTCAACGCTACGCAACTATCCCTCACTCCCCTCCCGAGCCGCTCACTCCTATGATCAGCCCTTGGCCCTTTGCCCAATGGGGACTTGATTTGATCGGCCCAATGCCTGCAGGGAAAGGCAAGGTCCGCTATGCAATCGTTGCAGTTGACTACTTCACAAAGTGGGCTGAAGTAGAACCCTTGGCAACCATTACTGAGGGAAAAATAGAAGACTTCGTATGGAAGAACATCCTCTGCAGATTCGGCATTCCCAATGCGATAGTCACGGACAATGGGCGGCAGTTCGACAACAAGAAGTTCAAGATGTTCTGCTCTAAGTTCAACATCAACTTATGTTTTGCCTCTCCAGCCCATCCCCAGTCTAATGGACAAGTCGAAGGCCGTTAACAAAATAATCAAACGCACTTCTGAAAACTAGCTTGGACAAAGCTAAAGGTTGTTGGCCAGAATTTCGTACCCCAAGTTCTTTGGTCATATCGCACTTCATATCGGACTTCCACAGGAGAAACTCCATTCTCACTTGCTTTTGGTACAGAAGCAGTTGTCCCGGTTGAGCTTGAGCAAGCAACATTACGGAATCCAGAACTACATACAGAGTGAGAACGACAAAGCAACTTACCCTCAACCTGGATCTAGTCGAGGAACACAGAAATCAGGCTCACTTGAGGAATGTCGCCTACAAGCAGCGCATCTCCAACTACTACGACTCAAGGGTCAAACCTCGCTCTTTTAAAGTGGGAGACTGGGTACTGAAGAAAAGATTACTCTGTGATAGAGTCCCGAGTGAAGGAACACTCAGTCCTAACTGGGACGGACCGTTCGAAGGTCGTCGGCATCAGCCGCCCTGGCTCCTACAAGCTTCAGAAGCTCCGACGGCAAGACCCTTGGCCATCCATGGAATGCTGACCACTTGAAGTACTATTACAAATAGACTCACATTGTACAAGTGTTAAGCTACAGCCGTTCGGCATCCTATGTAACAAAAACCATTTGGTATGAATTCAATAAAGAGGTGATTTAGCCAACTCGGCCCTAAACTCTTTTACATTCTGAGCAATGAAACACTCAAGTGTTGAAGCTTCAACGCACATGTTCCCAATACAAAATAAAATCTAAGTATATGTCAACAAGACTATACAAAGGATCTATGCAAACATAGCCAAACATTCATCAATGATAGGGCAAACACTTGAAGCTTGATAATACAAACACTTGCTTGATAATGCAAATACTCATAAACATACAAAACAAAAAAAAAACCCTCGAGTTTATAACATGGCACATGCCATACAAACAACAAACTAGTGCAGGCAGAGTACATGCAGAAAGTGAAAGCACTTCTAGTCCTCCTCCTCTGAAGTTGAACCCCTGATCATATCACTCTGAGACCTACCGTCATTTTCTGCATCTCCAACCTCATCATCACCCTGATGACTCTGCTCATCAGCACTAGCATCATCGCCCGACTCATCTGCACTACTCGAATAAACTGCAAGGTCGAAGGTTTCACCTTTTCGATGATGGTCATCTATTTCTTCACGGTATTTTCGAAGAACGCTTCCATCATCATAACGATCAAGGACAGCCATCCATTTCCTTTTTTCAAAATGAACTTCCCGGGTACAGCGAGGTCTAAGGACATGGAGAAAGGCCGGGGAACCCAAGAACTCCTTCACAGCAGCTTCCTTCTCAGTCGGGATACTACTCTTCAGCTCAGAAACCTCAACCAAGGCACTATCCAACTCCCCTTTAGCCTTGGAAACCTCGAGCATAGTTGCCTCCAACTGTACTTTGAGTCTCAAGTTCTCACCATTCCGCCTCTTCAAACTCTCAAAATGTTGATCCCTGACTTCAATGGCATCAGCCAAAGCTTTGCTCGTCTTCCTGGCATCATTCACAAGCTGCTTGTTCTCTTTCAGTTTCACCTTGCACCGCTCAGCCTCTCGCAGTCTGTCGTGATACTCAGTCATGACCTGCATGACAAGACGATCATCGCTACCAAAATAATGCTAATAAAGAGGAGAAAACAAGGAAATGACAAAGTAACACTCACATATGAAGATAGCTTCAACATCCGGTCACAATCTGATTCATCTTTAGCTAAAGGCTCTCCGAGCTCATCGAATGTGAATCGACGCCCTGCCAAGCAATTGTTGATATACCCAAAGTCCTTTGGCCGCATGGCAACCTTCAAATCCTTCCAAGGGACACTGCCAACCTCTTCCTTATCTTTACCCTTGCTGCTAGAACTAGGATCACCTTCCTGCCCAATGTGTTCCCTAATTGGAGGAAAGATGGGATTAATAGTAGGAAGAGGAGGCAGCAATCCCTATCCTCCCCGGCAACTATGGCAGCAGCACATCCAATGGCCGCAGCTTCAGCTTTCTTCGAGGCAACAACCTTGAGGACTTCTTCTCGAGACTTAGTTTTACTGATTGGTCTCACTCGGTGCTTGCGAGCTTCCTTGTGAAACAGGATGTCTTCTGAAGGAACTAACATGGGCTCTCCTTTTCTTGGTGCTAGTCTCCACTTTTTTGCCCACCTTCTCCACTGAACAAGGAAAATCAAAGTAATGAATACCACATTATATATCTATATAAAAAAAAAACAAGGGAAGAACAAGGATCAAGTGAGGATACAACTTACTCGCTCGTCTCTGGCACTCGGAAACTAAGGGCTGGAAACCGTACTTTCGAAACAAGGGTCGTAGCTTACCCAAGTGTCTATCTTCTTTAGGCACCCTCAGCACTTTCTCTACATCAGCTAGCTCCTGTCCGGAAAGTTTGATGGTGCCTCATGTCACTGCATGAAGAAAAATCTTAGAAGCAAGAGAAAATCACAACAATAGCAAATAATGAGAAAATGGATACATTACAACCTACAGTCTGGAAATGAGTAGGAACACGTCGCTCAGGCGTAACACCCTTAGCATGCTCCCAATCATTATAAAGAAAGCACCAACGTTTCTTCCATGTGCAGTACGACTTTCTCTTATCAAAGACAACACGCTCTCTCTCACTCCGACATGCACATTCAGCATAACCCGTACATGCTTTCACCGGGCGCATCTTATAACAGTAGCGCCACTGATGGAAGGAAGGTTCACCTAATCCACACTCCATCCATATAATATAAAACCCGATCAAGGTATCCCAGAAACCAGGGTTGAGTTGCCCCGGTGCATAACCAATAAAAGACAGCATCCGTTGCAACCACGGATGCAAAGGTAAATTTACCCCCAAGGTCACTAATGTCTGGGTATAGAACATAACATGACCCGTGGGCGGCTCAGAAGGCAATTCTTCACAACGCACCAAACGTATTCCTACACTACGGGGGATACTACATGATTGCCTTAGGGCCTCAAGCTGCTTTTCGCTATCTAACAAGTTATTTTCTAAATGATCCGTTGTGAACTCAGAGCGAAATATGGGTATGGCATCATAAACAACCCCCTCACCCACTCGTATGGAGGAAGAACCAATCTCGGCTAAGGTTTGACAATTGTGAGGATCAGAACGACATATGGGTATGGCGTCACAAACAACCCCCTCACCCACTAACATGGAGGAATAACCAATATTGGCTAAGGTTTGACAATTGTGAGGATCATCCAACATTTCTTTTGTACAAGACTCTAACAAAGGCCATGAAGACCCCGACATTGCAGGCTCAAACCTAGAGCCCGAGCTAGGGGAGCCCTCATCACTAAGACTTCCAGACTCCGACATCTACAACAAACAGAAACAAACTCTATTACTACATGAAGGATCAAAACATAAGGAAGCTCACAGGGCATGAAGAACAGCTCAACCAGTTCATTATGTTCGTCGCAAAATACATGAACATTCCAACAATTCAACAAAAAGGAAAACATCCAATGTAGTGGAGAAGACTACCAACCTGAAGATGGTGCAGCAAAGCAATGCTAGAATCCCTCTCAAGTAAAAAGCACTTTGTCTTCAACAATCACTACAAGATGAGCAAATGAAGGTAAGGTAAAGAATGGAAACTTATCCTTCTTATATATAGTTCAACATGGCTATTAACATTCAAAATTCAAATTCAAACCATGAGAAAGCCCCACATGGAGAATCTTCAAACTTCTAACATTAAGGAGTTTCAAATTTCAAATGTTTCAGTTCCCCCCTCCAAAAAAAAAAAAAAAAAAAAAAAAAGGAAGGGGGAACACAGCAGCTTCATCAATGGGATTCAACTCCCAATCTCAAAAGCTTCGCACTATGTTCATCAAGATAGTGCGAAGCACAATCAATTCATGATGCCAACAAAAGCTTCATCAATGGAGGACAAATATCAATCTCAAAAGCTTCGCACTATGTTCATCAAGATAGTGCGAAGCATAATCAATTTATGGTGCCAACAAAAGCTTCATCAATGGAGGATAAATACCAATCTCAAAAGCTTCGCACTATGTTCATCAAGATAGTGCGAAGCACAACCAATTTATGGTGTCAACACCAAAGCTTCACCTATAAAGCTTCACCACCAAAGCTTCACCTATAAAGCTTCACCACCAAAGCTTCACCACCAAAGCTTCACCTATAAAGCTTCAACCCCAAAGCTTCACCTATAAAGCTTCAACACCAAAGCTTCACCTATAAAGCTTCACCACCAAAGCTTCACCTATAAAGCTTCACCACCAAAGCTTCACCTATAAAGCTTCGCTAACCAAAGCTTCACCTATAAAGCTTCAACACAAAAGCTTCACCTATAAAGCTTCAACACAAAAGCTTCACCTATAAAGCTTCAACACCAAAGCTTCACTAGTCAAGCTATCTACCCAAGCACAAATCTATAGTCAATAAACCTTACATATTAAACTATTTTCCAAACACAAAACCTTGTGGCAAATAAACAAATTTTGTTCACACAACCAAGATTCTCTTGAACTTGTACAACAACACATGAGTGCACCCAAACTTTTTTGTTTTACATCCACAATATCCCTATCATAAACAGACATACATTTATATAAAATCCAACCCAAGCAACCTTTTTCTTCCTCTCCCTCTTCCGCCTCTTTCCATCTATCAAATTTCTGCAACCTTTGCTCTTCTCCAGTGGAGCTGAATTTTGGACACCCTATAGTTCTTGAGCAGATGAACAACTTTCAAGAAGGAATCATTTCTGTTTGAGCGACGGAAATTAAAGTGTTGAGGCTCCAAACACGACAGTCGGATTCCCGCAAATTTAAAGACTGCTGTGATGTTTCGAAGATCTGGAAATATTTAACCGTTAGTTCATTCTGAATTATTGATATGTCATGAAAGAGATGATAAGGAACAATTTTGATGAAGAAAGTATGTTGATCTGAACAAGAAAAAAGGAAGTTTCGAAGCTCACAATAAGTCTGACGGGTTAACAGCAAAATGATGAACACTTACTCAACATACCTGAATATCTGGAGTTGTACTACTCCGATGGCTCTCAAATTTGGATATGTTGTAGTTCACAAACTAAGGAACAATTTTCATGAAGACAACCTTGCGAGTTGAGCTACAGAACATGTGTTATATTGCAGAGCTACCGCACCCTCTACGTTAACTCCTCCCTTCCCTTCCTTGGCTCCAACACCCACTTTCCTTCATCATGCCTTTGGACTCATTCAGATTTGTACGAGGACATGAAGACCTTTCCAGCAAAGAAAGGAAAAGGCAAGTCAAAAGAATAGCTAAAAGCCACCAAAAGTGACGGACAAAAAGAATAAGTACACAGTGCCATATTGAACAAAGTCCGGGGAAATGGGGAAGAAGACACAGGCAAAGGAATGAGACTTTGAGTCTCATTGTTATTATTTATCTACCTCCCAATATGCAGCAAGAATACATTGGGCTTCACAAAAACTAAATAAAGGGGAGTGGGCACAAACCTGTTCTCCTCTTTGGGCTTGCCACACAAATAACAAATGAACAAAGGCACTGGATCCCTTCTTTTTGTGGGCTTGCAAACAAATGAGCAGTTTTGGGCTACACAAAAATTTTGGGCCCTCCCAAAGCTAAACCTAGCTTGAAATATTTTTGGATAAGGCATATATGAAGGTGTGACATCAAAACAAGGCTTCGTTACTTTGACATATTAGTAGCAAGCAAGACACCTCATTCGGCAACTCTCATCGCCTGAAGACTTGGGGGACTCCCACCATATGCTACTGCACCTTGATACTCGGAAGTCTCACAACCACTCAGTGACTTGGATTTTTCAAGTCTCCAACCGAGAAGTTTTCCTCACTCAGGAAATTAAGGGAACACTACCTCAAACTACATGCTTCACTCACAAAGCTTCAACAATACAAGTTTCGACAAAAGAAAAAATTCAGAGAACTTCCTGAAGAAGGCTTTGGTGTATTTAACACAATATGTTGAAATGGAGCAAAGCTTATTTATTAATATTTTCGATAAAGCCACAAATATGTACATATACATGAGTCAAAATAAACAAACAAAAGGGAGCCTTCACAAAGGTTGCTTAGGGGAAGTCTCAGCAGTCGGTAGAGCCCCAGAAAGAGAAAGCACCGGAGGGTGGTTATCCGGAGCCTCATTACTTGACAAAACCCCAAAAGGAGGAGGCATTGGAGGTTCATCATTTGAAGCTTCATTACCAGGTACAGCCCCAGAAGACGAAGGCAATAAATGCCTTTGGAACAAACCCACAAACCGCTGATGATCAAGTAAAACCTTACCATCAGATTCCTTCATCTGGTCAAGCTTCCTCTTCATGTTTGTAGCATAGTCATGGGCGAGCCGGTGCAACTGTTTATTCTCATGCTTGAGCCCTCTAATCTCCTGTTTGAGACTCATCACTTCAGCAGCCAATGATTCAACTTGGCGGGTTCTAGCAAATAGGCGTTGGGCCATATTAGACACAGAACCTGCACACTGAACACTAAGAGCCAGAGAGTCCTTAACAGCCAACTCATCAGACCGTTTGGAAAGTAGTCTGTTATCTTTGGGAGTGAGAAGGTTCCTGGCCACCACTGCAGCGGTCATATCATTCTTCATCACAGAATCCCCAACGGTAAGAGGACCAGTAGGGGATATGAAGGATGGGCGCCATATGTTGTCTGGAGAAGGCGTGGCTGTCTCTTCTCCAAGGTTCAAGTCAAAACGACGGTCGGAGGGTCCAGACATTTTCAAATGTGTTGAAGAGGGAAGAGGTCAGACAAATCAAGATCTTAGAAGTGCAAGAATGGAGCTTCTACTGGTAGAGATTCAAGTGTGCTGTGGAACTTAATGCCAGCCTCTATAAAAATCTGCACTCGACGGAGCTTCAGAAATCGAAGAGGCATTTGCTTTCTCAAAAGCTGGGCTGCTCAGAGACCACGAGGGCCGATCTCAGAAATCGAAGAAGCACCTGCTTTTTCAGCCTCGTCAGCACCTGTCACATGCACACTCAGCTTTGCGAAAATTACGGGCAATCTGTCGAAGATTTCTGGTGAAGTAGAAAGCACGTGAATCTTATTGTTCAATCACCGCTCTCCACATGCACCATCAACTCCTCGGGTACCACATATAACTTTGTCAAAGATCTCTGACAAAGTTTAGGCACGAGAATTTCGAAGTTCCAGCTACCCTACTATTACCCACAAGGGTAAAGGAACAGCACCACTGCTTGACAACTGGAAAGTCCCTATGTGTGTCGACCTCCGTGTTTTGCGGCAAGACAGGTTGGCAAGAACGTCCAACCTTTACTCACATTCGAGAAAAGACTCCCAACATAATTACTTTCTCAAAAACCGAAGTAGCACCGCTTTCCGAATCTCGAGAGTCAGATCCTCGACGGGATTGCTTGTTCGAAAACCGAAGAGGCACAACTCTCAGAACTTCGAAAGCCAGATTTCCTTAGATAAAGCTTGTCTGTAATCTTCACACGTAACATCAGCTTTCCAGATACCACATACCACTTTTTCAAAGTGCTCTGACAAAGTTAAAACACGTGAAGCTGGCAGCTCCCACTACATTGCTATTACCCACAAGGGTAAAGGAATAGCACTACTACTTGTTATTGGGAAATCCCTATATACATCGACCTCCCTCCTCAACGGACAGGCAAACCTGCAAAAATGCTCAACCATTTCTCACATTCGAGAAGGCACCCTCAACATAACCTCTCGAAATACTCAGCTTTATTTCCCCCCGATAATACCTCAGCAAATAAGCCACACCAAGAACAAGAGTATCTCATATCATCAGGGTCGAAAGCAAGAGTATCCCATATCATGCTTTCTCCCTATCTTTGTCTTTGTCCTTGTCCACACCTGCAGGACAAGGAGAAAGAGAGCAGTCAGTCGGAACCTGAAATCAAACCTCCAATCTGGAACTGACTGCCTGAGACCTTTGCCTGGTTGCTTACTCAACATTGCTCTCGAGTACTCATCCTCAACTGCTGTCAAGGTCACAAATTCCACCAACAAATACCTCATGACAGTTGATCAGATATTGGCTCTTTACACTGAAGCTGCCAAGCGTGGATGAGTCACTAGGAAGGAATGTTCTGAAGGACCATTTAAATGCAAATGGTACACACCACTTCTGCCATGTAAAAGATTGAAGCAGAAGGTTCAACGGTGAGCTGAAACAGATCACTACAGCACGACACCTTTCCATACCACATTCATTATTCCGTCAACAGCAAAAGTATCCCATATCATCAAGGTCGAACGTACTCTAGATTTGATGGACTTGTTTTGACCCTCAAATTCTTGAGTCGGCCTTATACTCTGAAGGGAACCAGAAAACCCTCCAGCACAGTTCAAGAATAAGCCTGTGGAAAGTTACTTCTTCAAAAGCACAAGTATCTCATATCATCTCTTCTCCATTTGCTTCTCCTTATCCTGGCAGCTGAATGAGAGACAAGGAGAAGGAGAACAATCAACCGGAAGCCGAAGTCGAACCTCCGATCCTGGGTTGCTTGCTTGGAAGTTTGACTGCTTACCTTGTCTGTCACCTCTTTCGGCATATCTCCTAGCTCGGCGACTTGGGGGACTCCTACTATAGGGTTTGTATCGCACTTGACCAAGCCCGAAACTATAAGTAAGCTTCAAGTGAAATTGATACATTACCTTGTGCATTTTCATCGGTTAAAGATACCACCCATGGATGGAGGAAAAGTACTGCCAGAGAAGATGCCACATCTACATATGAGACAGATAAGGCACGTGAAAATGATACCACACTTTAGTACTTAGAAGTTTCGTGATTACTCAATGGCTTGGATCTTGCAAGTCCCCAACCGAGGAGCTTCCCTCACTCGGGAACTTAGGGGAGCACTGTTTGTACCATACTTGACCAATCCCGAAACTACTGAGCACCAGTCAACGTTATACCGTCAAGGACCTAGAAGAGCTTCCCTTCAACCAGGAGGCCAATCACAAAGCGACACGTGTCGTCATCAGAAGCCAATCACAGCTCGACACGTGTCAACATCAGAAGTCAATCACAACACGACACGTGTCGATGTTAGAACAAAACTAGAAACTCTCATCTATAAATAGGGATCATTCTCCCACAATAATCTCTAATGTCATTTTGCACTAAACTATTCACTAGAACTCACTAAACCAGAGCTTGAACCTATGTATTTGTGTAAACCCTTCACAATTAATGAGAACTCCTCTACTCCGTGGACGTAGCCGATCTGGGTGAACCACGTACATCTTGTGTTTGCTTCCCTGTCCTTATTCATTTACGTACTTATCTTCACTAGTGATCGAAGCAACCAAGCGAAGGTCACAAACCTGACACTTTCTGTTGTACCAAAGTCCTCGCTGATTTTATGCATCAACACAACTCACTTATGCATAAAATAAATAACTTTCATTTTACAATTTTTTTTAAATAAATTGTAAGAAACTTGTTGAATACTTAAATGAGCACACATTATATGCTTGTTTCCCATGTTTTCATTATGTTCCAATATTTCATAATATATGTGTCAATCTATTTTTTGTAGTTTATAATGAAATTATATATATTTTAAGTATAAATACATAAATGTAATGAATTTAGTTAAATCCATCTAATCCGTTTAGACCCCGCTTAGCAGTCTAGGTGCTAGGTCCAAACTCGCCACCATATTAGCGCCTAGCGCTTATACATTTGTTACACACACACATACCTAGTTTTCAAAAATACTTTGGTTTTTCAATACACGTCATCTCTTCGTTAAATTAACGAAACGTAGCCCATAATTTACCTAATAAATAAATCCAATGGAGACACGGTGACACATACTTCAAATTTTCTTATGCTTTTATAGTCAAAATATATTTCTGCATCTTTCGCTCCTGGATTTTAGGTTTCGATGGAAGCGTAGCGAGAGGGCTGACTCGGTACGCAAGCACGTCTGTCTGTCTCTCGTTCTTTTGGGTCAAGTGTCTGTCTTCAATATTCTTAACAAAAACATTCCTGAGAGAGTTGGGAGCTGAGCTTCTGAGCCTCCCCTCCAAGCAAAAACAAAGGTACTTTTTCTTTTCTTTCACTTCTTCTTAGAATTTGTAATTTCGATCCTTTGCCTCCTGATAATTTCTGAATCTGGGTATTTCGTATTGTTGCATTTTAGAGGTGGGTTTGTGTTTAAATTTTGTGTTAGGGTTTTCAAATCTTTGCATTCGGTTGTTTGAGTAAAGGTAGAAGAATAAAGGCTAAAATTTGTGAGTTTTGAAGCTGATAAACCTGAATGAATTGTAGGTGGGTTTTGGATTGTTGTTGATTTTTTGCGGTTTGGTGCATCGAATTTAGCTGAATCGGATATGGGTTTCTGTTGATTTTGTGAATTCTGTGGGTTTTTTTAGTGTTCTGAGGGGTTTGGTGTTGTTGTCTTCGGCTTTGTCAGCATGCCTTCTACGCACAATTCGGGTTCTTCTTCGCCATTGACTTCGTTTGGTCGCTCGATTTGGAGCCGGCGAGAGCCATTTCAATCAACAGAAGCTAATCAGGAGTCCAGTGAGCAGGAATTAGAGGTTCAATCTTTTCAAAAACTTGTGACAGAACTGTTTCATGACTTGTCAGCTGTTGGTGCTGATGAATTGCTCTCCATTGCGTGGATTCGGAAACTTTTGGATGTTTTTGTTAGCTGCCAAGACGAATTCAGGGTTTTATTGTTGAAAAACAAGGCGCAGGTTTCTAAACCGCCGTTGGATCATTGGGCGGATGAATACTTAGATAGGAGCTTGAAGGCACTTGACATTTGCAATGCTGCTCGTGATGGGATTGACAAGATTCGTGTGTGGCATAAGCATTTAGAGATCGTTCTGTGTGCCTTGGAGTCTCGCCAGAGGGCATTCAGTGAGGGCCAGTTCCGTCGAGCAAGAAAGGCTTTGGTGGATTTGGCAATTGAAATGCTTGATGAGAGAGACTCTGGGTCTGTTTTTTCTCACCGCAACTGGTCTTTTGGGCTTAACAATAACACAAGAAAGGATGCTCGCCGTCGCCAACACTCATCTGGGAGTTCAACTACGCATTCCCGCTCTAACTCGTGGAGCGTATCACACTCTTGGTCTGCAGCTAAGCAGCTTCAGTCAATTGCAAGCAACTTGGTAGCACCTCGTGGAAATGAGGTTATTGCAGCAAATAGGCTTGCAGGCTCTGTTTTCACAATGAGTTCTGTGCTCACATTTGTTTTGTCGTCTCTCGTGGCTGCGATCCCATGTCAGGATCGAGGCATTAGCACTCATTTTTCAATCCCACCGCAGTACTCCTGGGGCATCCCATTATCCTCACTTCATGAACGGATAATAGAGGAATCTAAGAAGCGAGAGCGCCATAACTCACATGGGTTGCTGAGGGAGATTTATCATGTCGAGAGATGTGCACGCCACATGACAGACTTGATGGATCTGGTTCAGTTTCCATTAACAGAGGAACAGAAAGTGGAAGTCGAGCAAGAACTGCAGGAGTTAGCATCGATTTGTGAAAACCTGAAGAATGGATTGGATCCGCTGGAACGCCAAATTAGGGAAGTATTCCGTAGGATAATGAATTGCAGAACGGAGGGTCTCGAACTTTTGAGCAGCGCAAACAATCTGGAGTAAATTAAAAGAGGTAAGTTTCGACTGAGCATGAAATGTACAAATCCGCGAATACATTCGTTGTTTTGCATATTTCCAAGTTGCAAGGAGAGAAGTAAAGTGGTCAGCAACAATACAAAGGGTAAACAAGCGTCGTGAACGAATCTCTTCGGTTTCTCGAGCAACTAGCATTTTTTGTTTCCGGGACGTGGGAAAATGAGGTCTGTATGTCACAGTTTGGTTGGTATATGTTATGTTCGAATTAGCAACATTCTTACAGTTTGGTTGTAACTCTGGATCTTTTGATACATATAACTAGGGGTGAAAATTTTTACTAAATTCCCGTACCAACCGTCCTACCAACCATACCATACCAAATTATTACCAAAAATTTGTACCAATTGGTAATGGTACGGTATTTGTACCGTACCATACTATTTCGGTACGATACTGGTATCCAAAACCAGTATCGGTGGTATACTGTACCTACCAATATTATTATTATTATATTATGTATTTATTCATATAATTATTTGAGGGCAAAATTAATATAATTATTGTAGAAGTGTAAAAAATGTATAAAAAAAAAAATATATACAATCACTCATAGTGACAAGCTTTACAATTTTCTTGAAGGGTCAGCTTCAAAATCCAACTCTATAATCCATAAATCTTAAATTTATATTTAACCGTCGATTGTCATTTACTCTTTATTGTTCTTATTGAATTTCATTTTTTTAATTTTCTTTTTTTGAAAACATGATCATCTGGCGGATGTAAGAAGATGAATGGTTCAGATCTTTGATATCACGTTTCGATATTTAAAGTTAACTAAAATATGAGTCGATGTCATATAGTTTGTAGAAACTTTATAAACATCAAGCAATATTTTCACTAACCGTAAAACTCTGAACATAATATCAACGATTCAAACCATTCATCTTTCTGCATCCTCTAATAGATCATGTTTTCAGAAAGAAAATCAAAAAAAAAAAAAAAAATTTGATGAGAAAAATAAAGCGTAAATGTAAATAACAATCAACGGTTAAATCTTAATCTATGATTTATATGATTATAATGACGAATTTCAAAGTTAAGCTCTTCATGAAAGTTGTAAAGTTTGTTATTACGAGCATTTATATATTTTTTCTATATTTTTTACACTTTTACATTAATTAAAAAATATTAGATTTTAGGCAAACTAAGTGATGTAAAACAAAATGACAATTACCATTGACATACCATATCAATCAAAATATTTGGTATACTGATATTCGGTATACCATATCAACCAAACTATTTGGTATACCGATATTCAGTATATCAAAAATTTGATACGGTAATAGTAATAGATTTTACCATACCAAATATTTGGTATGGTAATTGGTAATGTACCAAAACCACCCCTACATATAACTCAAGTCCTATTTAGTTACATATTTACAAATCGTGAACGGATCAACATCGGTATACCACAATCGAAAATCTCCCACGAGTAAACAAGTAACATTGGTATGAATTAGTCCATCGTCTAGCACCATCGGCTTGCCCTTCAATCGGGATGAAGGGCAACCGATGTGCTGTAAATGAGAAGGTTATTTCTACAAATGATAATTACAATGGACTTGGCAGATGTTTGTGAAGGATCTCCCGCAAGCCGTCGATTGAGAGCATCCACCATTACTTGTATCGAAATTAATTCAAAGCTTCAGCTGTACCCGCTTCTCTTTACGAAATCCGCTTCGACTACTAAAAGATTTAACCAACACCGTTTTTCTTTTTCACGTATTTATATACCAAATTTCTTGTATGTATGACTGCAGACAACATGGGTGGTACCGCATCTACCAGTGCATCGAATGTACTCTGCGAAGAACACGTGGTGGTCTCCGCTTCTCTACGATAGGAATGAGGTTCTCCATGAGCTGCAAGTGCAGACAGAGTGAGAGAGAGTTAGATCATTTACTCACACTTACAAAATGCAGCTTGCTCTATATAAAGAAAACAATGAAATCAGCAAGTTTGCTATGCACGAACCGGTTTGTTGAGTTATAAGCTATAGAACTCAATACTAAGCAACCAGGTGGCGTCTACATTAAAAAAGGTCGTACCCAATGCACAAGGCTCCCGCTTTACGCAGGGTCTGGGAGAGGTGAATGTCGGCTAGCCTTACCCCCATTTATGGAGAGGCTGCTCCCAAGTCTCGAACCAAGACCTACCGCTCATGGGCGAAGGCACTTGCCATCGCACCAAGTGCGACCTCTACATTGATCGCTAAAAATGAATTTCTGCTAGTGAGACGATTCCCTATCCAAGCTTTATCCGTGTTTAACAGACCTCTACGATCATGTTTTCAACAATAGTGTGACGGAGTTACCTTATTTCTCTTGCATCAGAAAGGTTAAAGAAGCAAACGAAACCTTTTTATTCTCGTGGAGCCATTCAGATTCTTTCTACCCATCCCATAATCTGTAACTGGCAATGTTTTTCTACCCATCCCGGGAACCTGCTACGTAAGTGATGGCAATGTTTCTTAAACAAAAATCTTATTAGGTACTGTTCTACAGAGCAATCTTCACAATCCAAGGTCAAAAATCAGTAAAAGCTAGAAAGTATACGTACTTCAAAACTTAAAGCTGAATGGAAGGAGAGTTCGATTGTATGCGATATGAACTAGAATCTGCTACGTATAACATGATCATCCCTACAAGTTGTTTATGATATTGAAAGAGATAAACACACAAAGACGGTTCACAGTTCATAGATGTATCCAGATTCTAAATAGCCAGGCATCTGCATATGTAATGCAAAGATCTCTCTATTTCTCTCGTCGAATGTATTGAAAACGTTATTTCACAAAGTATGAGAAAGTATTCACGAAAACAGACATAGACATACCCGCTTAAACCTCTCCTTCTTCTGCTCGGCCTGCATCCGAAGTAGAAGATCACTTAGGCATAAACTCAGAATGCAAAATTCATACGGGATTAGAGCGAAAAACCGAGTTTTAAATAGAATGGTAAAAGTATATGACCAAATTGTAAGAAGCGATTGAAGAATTAATAGACCTGTTGTCTGAGGAGCCGCGCATTTTCCTCCTCCAGCTGCGTTACCAGAGATTCGAGCTCTACGGTGTAAGCCTAAAATCGCAATTAAAACACAGCAATTTCAATAACCGATTTCAGATTTCTGTTTGTTTCCAATCAAATTAAATTAAACTAAATCAACATTTTCTCAGTAACCAAACAAACATGATCCGGCAAAGAATGAACCGAACCTGCTTCCGTTCCCTGGACCGAGCAGCGGATTCTCTGTTCTTGATCATCCTCCTCTGCTTCTGCTGCGTCGCCTTATCCAGCGGAGCCTCCTGCACCACTCTCCTCTTTCCAGCTCTCCCTCCTCCGCCACCTCCTCTGCCTCCGCCTCCACTCGTCGTCCCGTTCGCGTACACCAGCTGACCCTGAGCAGCTGGAGGCGGGGGAGGAGGAGGAGGAGGAGGAGGCTGCACCTGGAACTGCCCGTACCCAATCGGAACTCCGCTGGCAGTCACGTTGACGTCCTCTTCCCTCACGGCCCTAGCCCTGGTGAGAAAGTCCTCCAAGGTCATCTCCTCCATCCCACCGCCACCGCCTCCTTCTCCTGCCCGCACCTGATCCCCGCCGTCTCCCTCGGCCGTTCCCTCCTCCTCCTCTCCCATTCCCACTCCCACTCCGCCGGCGACGATCTCCTTCCAGACGTCGTCGACGGACCTCGGCTCGGCGTGATGCTGATGTTGCTGATGTTGCTGATGATGATCGTTGTCGTCCATGTCGTTGGTGGCAGTGGAGCTGTAGATGTTCTTGAGGATGTCGTCCATGGTAATAGACGGATGCTTGCGATGGTCGTCGTCGTTGTCAGCCATGAGAGTGGAGAGGGAACATATAGACTCTCTCCGCGGCAGATCCGAATTCGTGGTTGAAACCACCACCATCTTCGAAGACGCCGCCATCATCCTCGCAACCCTCTCCCGGAATTCTAGCCCTCTGATTTGATTTTTCCTTTAATTTTTTCTTCTTCTTCGACGAAGAATTCTGATGATTCTCTTTTTTATAAATAAATTAAATTCCAAACCAACAAACAAAACGAACCAAAAGTCGTGATGCTCAAGGCTTAACTGTGTGTCCGGCTGCACTGCTTACTGGTTTACCATAATTATTATTAGATTTTAATTAATCGTCATCCAATCATTAATCCTGCATGATATGCTTTGCCACTTTACACTTAAGAGCCTCTAGATATTTTTCACTATGTCGACAAGACGAGCTGATATATCAAATATCATAATATAGAAGTCATTGTATACTTAAAAAAAAAATTTCAATTACTTGTATTATGAAAATTGGTGCGACCAGTCTGTATTCTCAATACATTGAAAATAAAACTTCAAAGTTATGTTTATTCAGCTCATTGCATAATAATTTCAAACTCTTTTTCCTTCTCTTACTGTATATTAGTGTCGAATATTGAGCATCTCCAACCACAAATGCAAAATGCCTTAGAATGTGTATTTTACATTTTGCAATAACTTATGTGAGTTCGATACAAATATTGCCACTCTAGCCTTTTGCAGTAACTTATGTCAGTTTGATGTCTACATATAAGAAACAAGCAACATGGGATTGTTTAATATTACACCATTGACACAGTGGTATGATTTTGATAGGAATCAGTTTTATAAATTAAATGTGAGACGCATCTACTTTTTCTTTTTGTATTTACGGTTGGTCACTATTTTTCTCTATCTTATTTATTGTACAGACATCAAACTTATGATTTTAATATATATAGAACTCAAAAATAAGAATCACTTTCATTGCACTCATATTTTCCAACTCACTTTAAGAATTTGATTCTTATATTATTGTTATCAAACTCATTTTTCCAACCCGAAAGACCTAAGAAAATGAACGGAAATGAGGTTTGTATAGGTGGCCATAGAACATCCCTGTTTGGGTTAAAACTTGAACTTTGGGCTTAAAAAGGAGTCGGCCCAAAAGAATGACTAGGAGGAAAGGAACCTGAAGCCCAGTAAAAGCCCAGAAGACAGAAAAGGGCTTTTCCCGACTAGGTACAGATCATTTGAACCACTTGTTCACCTACCTAGAGACCAAGTGGTGTAGACTAGCCAGCTAATCAGCCCAAAAGCATTTTACAGTGGCAGTACAAGTAAAAAGCCGATGAGTCATTGCCCTTCAAGCTGCATTCGGGCAAGATTAAAGTTACAAGAGGCCAAGCAAACTGTCTATAAAAGAAGAAAGAGAAATCAGAGATGAGGATACTCAAACAACCAAACAAATACAAGCATAAACTCTGCTCAAACCAGATTTGCTTTCAATGAAGCTGTAGTCAGCCCAAGCCTTCATCCCTTTCGGGATCAACCCTCACCAAAAGCCTTTGTAAAAGCTCTGCTACCTTGTCTCTATCTTGCTGTAGTATCGATTTCCTTCTGTAAATTCATCTCCCTATCCCTCTTTCTA